GAGGGGTGAAAGGGGACGGGAGTTGAGGAAACGTTGTTCTAGGTCAGCCATAAAGATGTTAGCATACTGTGGGGCCATGCGTGTACCCATGGCTGTGCCGCTGATCTGGAGGTATAAGTTGTTCTCAAACCGGAAATAATTGTGGGTGAGAACAAAGTTACATAGGTCTGCTATCAGGTTGGCAGTAGTGTCCTCTGGGATAGTGTTTCTAATTGCTTGTAATCCGTCTTCATGTGGGATGTTGGTATATAGAGCTTCTACATCCATGGTGGCAAGGATGGTATTATTGGGGAGGTTATCGATGTTTTGTAGTTTCCTTAGGAAGTCAGTAGTGTCTCGGAGATAGCTGGGGGTATTGGTTACGAAGGGTTTGAGAAGAGTGTCTACATAGCTGGATAGACCAGTAGTGAGCGTGCCAATACCAGAGATGATGGGACGTCCGGGGTGCCCAGGTTTATGGATCTTGGGAAGTAGATAGAACAATCCTGGTCGGGGGTCAGAAGGTGATTCTGTGAGGATTTGTTCCCGAGTAGCTGTGGGGAGGCTTTTAAGGAGACAGTGTAGTTTCTTTTGGTAGTCCAAGGTGGGATCAGAGGGGAGAGGTTTGTAAAATGTGGTGTTCGAGAGTTGTCTGGTTGCCTCCTGGTTATAGTCGGCCTTATTCATAATGACCACAGCACCCCCTTTGTCAGCTGGTTTGATTACAATGTCCAGGTTGTTTTTGAGACTCTGGATGGCATGGTGTTCAGCGCGGCTAAGATTGTGTGTCGCTTGTTGTCGTTTGCGAATAATGTCAGTCTGTGCGTTGTTGCGGAAGCTGTGTATATAGAAATCCAGATTGTAATTCCGACCGTCAGGGGGAGTCCATATAGAATTATTTTTCCTTTGGTGTTGGTAGGGGGGATCTGGTAGGTCAGATTGATGTTCAGTGGTGGTTTGGAAATATTCTCGGAGACGGAGGCGGCGAAAAAAAGCCTCAAGGTCACCACAAAATTGTATCCAGTTTGTGGGGGACGTGGGGCAGAAAGAGAGACCCCGGGACAAGACAGACTCTTCTGCTGGATTGAGTTTGTAGCTGGAGAGGTTAACAATATTATCCGGTGGGTTGAGGCAGTTGCTGTTGTAGCCAGTGGTATGGAGCAGGTTAGAAAATTTATTGTCTTTTCTTTGTTGTAGGGAATAGAAGTGTGTATAGTAGATTTCTTGTCTGGTGGAACAAAAGTCTTGCAAGGTGTCAGTCGGTGTGGATGTTTGTCTTGAGATGAGACGATCTAAGTTAGAAATGTCATTCTTGATGGTTTTCTGTTTCTTGTATAAAATACTTATCAGGTGGTTTCTTAATTTCTTGGATAGTGTGAGGCAGAGTCTTTCACTGTAGTCAGTGAAGTATGTTGATCTTAGTGGATTGTTCACTTTCAGTCCTTTGGGTACGATGTCCATTTTCTTGCACTTGGATAGAAAGATGATGTCTGTCTGTATCTGTGCGAGTTTCTTCATATGGTTGATGGATTTCCATTCCAAACGGCTAAATGTAGTGCCTTGCATGTAGAATAGTGATAGAAATGTAGCCGTGTTAGTCTGGGGTAGTTGAAGCAAAATGCAGGACAATGTAGCACTTTAAAGACTAACAAGATGGTTTATTAGATGATGAGCTTTCGTGGGCCAGACCCACTTCCTCAGATCAAATAGTGGAAGAAAGTAGTCACAACCATATATACCAAAGGATACAATTTAAAAAAATGAACAAATATGAAAAGGACAAATCACATTGCAGAACAGAAGGAGGAGGCGGGGGGGTGGGAAGGGGGAGGAAGGAAGGTAAGTGTCTGTGAATTGCTGATATTAAAGGTAGGGAGAGTGGGATGTTTGTGAGTTAATGGTATTACAGGTGATAATTGGGGAAACTGTCTTGATAATGGGTGAGAAAGTTCAAAGACTTGTTAAGTCCCTGGTGGTAAGTGTCGAATTTTAACATGAATGACAGTTCAGAGGATTCCCTTTCAAGTGCAGATGTAAAAGGTCTTTGTAGCAGAATGCAGGTGGCTAAGTCATTTAGAGAGTGTCCTTTCTGGTTAAAGTGGCAAGAAACTGTTTTCTCTTTGTGATCTTGTCTGATATCTGTTTTGTGGGCATTAATCCTTTGGCGAAGTGTCTGAGATGTTTGTCCAATGTACATAGCAGACGGACACTTTCGGCACATGATAGCGTAGATTATATTTCTGGATGCGCAGGAATATGTGTTCTTGATCTTATAACTCACTTGGTTAGGTCCAATAATGGTATCAGCAGAATGAATATGTGGACAAAGCTGGCAACGGGGTTTGTTGCAAGGGAAGGTACCAGGGTTGGTATTAGTGTGGTATGTCCTGTGGTGGTTGGTAAGAATCATCTTGAGGTTAGGTGGTTGTCTATAGGAGACTATGGGTCTGTCTCCCAGAGCCTCTTTGAGTATGGTATCCTGTTCCAATATAGGCTGTAGTTTATTGATAATGTGTTGGACAGGTTTAAGTTGGGGGTTGTAGGTGATGACAAGTGGTGTTCTATTGTTGGTTTTCTTGGGTCTGTCTTGAAGTAGATGGTTTCTAGGTATTCGTCTGGCTCTTTCAATTTGCTTTTTTGTTTCTCTGGGTGGGTAGTTGAGATTTATAAATGCTTGGTAGAGATCCTGAAGCTTCTGGTCTCTGTCAGTGGGGTTAGAGCAGATGCGGTTGTATCGAAGGGCTTGGCTATAGACGATGGATCGTGTGGTGTGTTCTGGATGGGAGCTGGATGCATGTAGGTAACTGTATGAGTCAGTGGGTTTTCTGTAGAGAGTGGTGTCTAATTTTCCACCTGGGACCAACCCTGTTCAACTTACTCATAAATGATCTGGAGAAAGGGGTAAGCAGTGAGGTGGTAAAGTTTGCGGATGATACCAAACTGTTTAGGATAGTCAAGATAGAAGCAGAGTGTGAGGGACTCCAAAAAGATCTCACCAAACTGAGTTATTGGGCAACAAAATGGCAAATGAAATTTAATGTGGATAAGTATAAAGTAATGTACATTGGGAAAAATAACCCCAACTATACGTATAGTATGATGGGGGCTAATTTGGCTGCGACAAATCAGGAAAGAGATCTTGGAGCTATCATGGATAGTTCCCTGAAAACTTCCACACAGTGTGCAGCAGCGGTCAAAAAGGCAAATAGGATGCTAGGAATTATTAAGAAAGGGATAGAAAATAAGACACAGAATATCTTATTGCCCTGTATAAAACTATGGTACGCCCACATCTTGAATACTGTGTACAGATGTGGTCTCTTCACCTCAAAAAAGATATTTTGGCCTTGGAAAGGGTTCAGAAAAGGGCAACTAAAATGATTAGGGGTTTGGAACGGGTCCCATATGAAGGGAGGTTAAAACGATTGGGACTTTTCAGTTTAGAAAAGAGGAGACTGAGGGGGGATAGGATAGAGGTATGTAAAATCATGAGTTGTGTGGAGAGGGCGAATAAAGAAAAGTTATTTATTAGTTCCCATAATAGAAGAACTAGAGGACACCAAATGAAGTTAATGGGTAGCAGGTTTAAAACTAATACAAGAAAGTTCTTCTTCACACAGCGCATAGTCAACCTGTGGAAAGCCTTGCCAAAGGAGGCTGTGAAGGCTAGGACTATAACAAAGTTTAAAGAGAAGCTAGATAATTTCATGGAGGTTAGGTCCATAAAAGGCTATTAGCCAGGGGATAGAAATGGTGTCCCTGGCCTCAGTTTGTCAGAGGCTGGAGAAGGATGGCAGGAGACAAATCGCTTGATCATTGTCTTCGGTCCACCCTCTCTGGGGCACCTGGTGCTGGCCACTGTCGGTAGACAAGCTACTGGGCTAGATCGACCTTTGGTCTGACCCAGTATGGCCGTTCTTATGTTCTTATGAGATAGTACTGAGAAGCTGAGGCATTCCCATATAGTCAAGTTCAGTAAACACTGATACCCCAGATTCAAGGAAAAATGGAGCTGGCCACCAGAAAATCAGAAATGAAGTCCAAAATGCAGCCTCATGATTTGTAATGACCAGAAGCAAGAGGTTGTGGAAGCATCCTGCATGGCTGGAGATAGATGAGGATGATCAGACCAGAGAGAAGAAGAGTGGGAATAATTCCACACAGCCAGTAGTACCCATTCAAAACCAACTTCTTCAGTGTAGAAATATTATATAATCCATCTTGTGCAAGGGATTGGAGAAAGATAAACAGTATTTGTTATATATCTATGTTAAATAGTGTAGCCATATATGAACCTTATCCTTTATCTTATTACTTTTTATTTAAGAGAAAGATCTTGAACATATGTCAACCAATTTTGCTATTTAATCAAAGAGGCTGACAAAGGAGGCACTGTAGCCATCATGAATAGGACAGTTTATAAACAGGAGGCTACCTACTTGGCTCTTGCTACAGTTCAAAAGCAGAAGCCCCGCAGGGAGTTCTGGGCCAGAGTCCCCGGATGGCCCCATGCTCCTTGCCGGGCTTCTGCTTTTGAAATGTGCAAGAGTCCTGCTGGGGCTTTTGTACATTTCAAAAGCAGAATTGCAGCAGAACCCCTCCGAGTAGAAACTGCTTCAGTCCCCACTCTTGCTGTCTCTCTACCCCCCCACCCCCTTATGGAGATAGTGCTAGGGGGAACCAGCTTTTAAGCCAGCTCCCCCCAGCACCGGCTCCTGCTGTCTCCTTACTGCCGCTCTCTGATAGAGGCAGCAAGGGGGGGGAGTAACTAGTCACATCCCTAGTCGACTATCCGATACACTTATGCTTATTGGATAGTTGGCTAGTCGCTTATATCCCTATGAGCAATAGCAAAATAAGCTACACCATCTGCTCAAGAAACTCCCTGCAGTAGCATGTACCAAATCTACACAAACACATCCCCTAGAGTTGTCTGGCTATATGGACTCTCTCCTGAGACCCTATGCTATCAGCACTCCTAGCTATCTTCAAGACACTACTGACTTCCTGAGGAAACTACAATGAATCTTTCTGAAAACAGCATCCTGGCTGCCATAGATGTAGAAGCTCTCTACATCACTATTCCACATGAAGATGAACTACAAGCTGTCAGGACCGTATCCCCAGATGATGCCACAGTGACTTTGTCCTCACCCACAACCGTTTCCGATTTAGGGACAATTTATACCTTCAAGTCAGCAGCACTGCTGTGAATACCCTCATGATCCCACAGTATACCAACATTTTTATGACAGACCTAGAACAATTCTTCCTCAGCTCTCATCCCCTAGTACCTCTCCTCTACTTGCACTACATTGATGACCTCTTCATCATATGGATCCATGGGAAGGAGACCCTTGAAGAATTCCACCAGGATTTCAACAATTTCCACCCCACCATCAACCTCAGTCTGGACCAGTCCACAGAAGAGATCTACTTCCTGCACACTACAGTAAAAATAAATGATGGTCACATAAACACCACCCTATACTGGAAACCCACTGTTTGCTCTTCTTACCTACATTCCTCTAGCTTCCATCCATGACATATCACATGATCATTGTCTACAGACAAGCCCTAAGATACAAGCATATCTGCCCCAATCCCTCAGACAGAGACAAACACCTATAAAATCTTTATCAAGCATTTTTAAAGCTAAAATACCCACTTGTGGAAGTAAAGAAACAGATTGACAGAGCCAGACCAACACCCAGAAGTCACCTACTACAGGACAAGTCCAACAAGGAAATTAACAGAACACCACTGGTTATCACCTACAGCCCCAGCTAAAACCCCTCCAGCGCATCATTGGCAATCTACAACCTATCCTGGAAAACCATTCCTCACCCTCACAGATCTTGGGAGACTAAAGCAAATACTCACCAGCAGCCACCAAGCACAGAATCATTTAATCAGGAACTTATCTCTGCAATGAACCCTGTTGCCAATCAGTCCACGTATCTATACAAGCAACACCCTCATAGGACCTAACCACATAAGCCACACCATCAGGTGCTCATCCACCTGCACATCTACTAACGTGATATATGCCATCATGTGCCAGCAATGCCCCTTTGCTATGTATATTGGCCAAACTGGACAATCTCTGTACCAAAGGATAAATGAACACAAGCCAGGCATCAAAAAAGATAACACATAAACCTGTAGAACTTTTTAACCTCCCTAGACACTCAGTAATGAATTTAAAAGTAGCCATCCTTCTATAAAAAAACTTCAAAACCAAACTACAAAGAGAAACATCAGAGCTGCAATTCATTTGCAAATTTAACACAATCAAGTTAGGACTGAATAAGGATTTAGAATGGTTATTTCACTATGAAGGCAATTTTCCCTTTCTTTGGTATTCATACCTCCCTTTCAGCTGCTGGGAGCGAGCCAAATCCACCCTGACTGAGGTCTTAACACCCTTCTTTTGATATAGTGTCTATCTGTGTCCCTGACAAAGTGAGTTTTACCTACAAAAACGTATGCCCAAATAAATCTCTTAGTCTTGAAAATGCCACAGGATTCCTTAAAAAGGGACGAGGAGTCCTGTGGCACCTTATATAGACACCAGCAACACCATCACAGGACCTAACCAGATCAGCCACACCGTAACTGGTTCATTCTCCTGCACATCTACTAACGTAATATACGCCATCATGTGCCAACAATGCCCTTCTGCTATATACATTGGCCAAACTGGACAGTCCCTACGTAAAAGAATAAATGGACACAAATCAGATATTAGGAATGGCAATATACAAAAACCTCTAGGAGAACACTTCAATCTCCCTGGACACACAATTATAGATCTAAAGGTAGCCATCCTGCAGCCAAAAAACTTCAAGACTAGACTTCAAAGAGAAACTGCTGAGCTACAGTTCATCTTCAAGTTTGACACCATCAACTCAGGATTAAACAAAGACTGTGATTGGGTAGCTAACTACAAAAGCAGCTTCTCCTCTCTTGGTATTCACACCTCCAGATCAGCTACTAGAAATGGGTCTCATCTTACCTGATTGGATTCATCTCGTTATCTCTAGCCTGATTCTGGCCTGCATATTTATACTTGCCTCTGGAAATTTCCACTACATGCATCTGACAAAATTGGGTCTTTGCCCACGAAAGCTTATGCTCCAACACTTCTGTTAGTCTATAAGGTGCCACAGGACTCCTCGCCGCTTTTGCAGATTCAGACTAACAGGATTCCTTGTTGTTTTTGCTATTTGGGTAAAAGATCCCAAACATACATAAACTAATTTTGCCTTAGCTCTACATCTAGGTCCTTTGTGTTACAGCCAAAGTACTTTAATATAAAGCTATTATAATAAAATCATTGAAACCATAAGGAAATAAAAAATGCATAAGAAAAATATATATAGGTAAAGGAGCAGGTTAGTGCTATAAGCTATACTTTGTATTAGAGTCCTGTATGAAGCAAAATCTCACAGAATGTTGTAAGAACAGGGCTGATATTAAATACACAATCCTAAAAAGTGCTAGTCCCAAAATACACAAACACATCCCGATATTAAGTGACACCAAAACATCTCAATATCAAGGATGGTACATTCCCCATGGATAACAGAAGCACACTGACCCCTCTTAAAAATAAGATCAGAATAAGAGCACATAATAAAAATGTTTTAATCAAGCCAACATGTACAAGGTAATGAGTGTCAACTAGCCATGTCAGCGGGAGGTAACTATGTCAGAGGCAGTACTAACTTGTCTGTATCTGAGTATAAACACATATCTCAAAGGAATTATCTTTACCTAGCCATGGGAGGAATGGGAAGTCTACCATTCACTGAGCAGGTCCATGGTTACACACATATACACATTAGTGGTCCAGTAAAGATTGCAAAATACTGGTACTGGGCTTTGTCAACAATAAAGCTAACTGGGAGTCTTTGTCCCTGAATAAATCAAGGTATGCTGTGCCAGTTGTCTGTTCAGGGCTGGGGCAACACTCAGAGGAATACACACGTGCAGCCAAACATCTATCAACACCTACTCGCAAACATAAGAATGGTTATTCTGGGCCATTTATAGTTTTTCACCATCTTATACACGCTTCATCACTATATAGTGTCTTTACACCAGCAGGGGAGAATTCTGTATTAGACTGTATAGAATAGCGAATTACTAAACTGTTATGGCCAAATAGGATTTTATTAATTATGGGAAATTCAGAGCATGTAGTGGACTTGACCCAGTCAGGCTCATCTTGCTGCAGGGTGGGAGCTACTCCAGCCAGGCTCGCCACATTTTGGGTTCCTGGTTAACCGGTTAAACTTTACTGGTTAACTTTTTAAACATGATTGTACATCCCTACTATTGAGCTATTCCAGTTAAAACTATCAGGAAGCACACTTTGAGCAGAAGAATTTTATGCAGCCTTTGTGAATTGTTTCATTAGAAGTTGTGAAATGTTCACAAGTAGCACGCAATTTGATGATTTTGGAATTGTAATGATGTATGATATATAACTGATTACATATTTTGCATTTTTTGTTTTAGTCAATTGAAGAAAATGAAGTGTATTTGCCTAATGATGAGCTTTGGCTCTATGAAATTGACAGTGGGTTATGGTAAGCCATTTTATTTATATTTAATGACTGTGCAAAATCTGCTATTTATATCTGAGTATTATTACTTACAGTAAAAAGACTTATTTCAGATACATAAATGAGATCTGTTTCATCTCACTTGGCTGCTTAGATAGTCTGCATTCATTTAGTCTCTGATGTATATATTTGAAAAATTTCTTCAGATTAGAAAATACTTATGTTATACCACAGTCATTTTTAAGGGATGTTTTAAATGTTAACTTTTTAAACATAGCTTAAGACTTGTTAAAAGAACCACTTTTGTTTTTATACTGTCTAAATTAACTCTTATATTAAAATGATTAAATACAATAAAATGAGGGTACTTGATCCATGTAGGCTCAAGGATCAGTGTACGATCAATGTAGGATTCTTTTTACTCTTCTTACTTAATCATATCAGAAATATGTTTGCATCGATTATGTATTTTAAATGTTTAAATCAGATTCAGATCATACACCTCAATAGCAATATAATAAGTTTTATATCAAATTGAATTTTTGCATTCTTGGGAGATGGGTATAGTAGAAATGCCAATTATTACATTTGCCTGATACATCTCATTATCAAACCCTGTTTTAGGTGCTTATAGTTTTGCCAGACTTTAGCCATGTGGGCTGAAATTTTCCATGCTGGGTGTCTGGTGATATACATGATATTTTAAATTTCAGCCAAAATATGCTTTTTTGCCCAAGTTACAAAATTACTAACCCCTTATTTTTGAAAGGCTTCATGCTTTGGAGCAGAGATGAAATTTGGCAAGAGGTGGCTTTTATTTCAGGGATGTGTCTTTTGCCATCTCAATGAACTTCCACCCAGGTATGGCGGCTTATTTATAAGCATTTGAAAAACTACAGTTTGCACATGCTCAGTGGAGACTTGCTAGAGCTTAACAGCAAAAAAAAAACCAAAACCAACCTGTCCTCCCACACCTGATAGTACTGACCAGATTGCTGATGTGCCCTCCTCCGGAGAAACTCTGTATTCCCCATCCTGTTATATCCTTTACTAGTACCACTTTGCTTTTGATGTATTTTGATTTGTTTGGGAGCAAAATTATGAGATGTTAATATATTTATTAAATGCCAGGACAATGCACCAAATGGAAGGAGAGCTACCTACCTCTATGTCAGGAAGTTGTGGAGCTTGCATTAATGGAAAACTGTATATATTTGGCGGATTTGATGATAAAGGATACAGTAATCGGGTATTGTAATCTTTTTATTTGGGAGTGTATTTTAATTAAATGATGATTAATGCAGAACTTCATTTAACAAAGCATTTAACCTTGTGTTTAACTAGAGGGAAAATCTAAGGGTGAGATTTGGTTTATTATTAGAAAAGATGTCTTCTAAAATACTTTACTTTGTAAATCTGATTTTTTAGACCGCTGAATCTCCACAACTCCTGTTAGCTGCACTGGGGGGTTTTGACTAGGTTAAATTGAAAAATAATGTCCAGTATCTTTTGATTTTTATTTCTCAAGTTTTCTAATATTTCTAAAATGAATTGTATTTCTGTGGGGGCAATATATTTGTAACTATAATTAGACTTACCTCAGAATTGTTACTTTTTCTTTGCTCTTTAGTGAGCATGTGACATTTATGCTTCTGGGATAATCAGTTAATAACTAGTCAATGTTAACATATGACTGCTAGTTTCCCTGTTGACTGCAAGTAATTGGATTAATGGAATGGAAACCAGAATTTCAGTGTAGATTAGAAAACAAGTGAAATGAGTTGAATGGTCTCAATCTAATGCTCTGTCTACAGGCAGTGTTGATTATAAAATCATTATACAGAAAATCTGATTAGGTCAAGGCAAAAGCACTTCAGGTTAGTTGAACTAACAGGTGAAATAGTGCTTCCATTAAAATCAATGGCAACATTCTTACTGATGTCAGCAGAGACAGGGTTAGCAGAGTGAGAGAGGGAGATTGTGCTGCTTCTTCCTGCATTTTATTTGTGATATGTTCACTGACTATAATCTTTTACTATAATAAACATTACAATTTGTCTGTTGTTCTCAGATTTTTTTTATAAGAAAATGTTTTTTGTAATAACTATTGCAGATTTGTGTTTGATTCTTCAAAATCATTTACTTCACACTAAAATATGATAATTTTTCTTTTAAGCTTTATTATGTTAATTTGAGAACAAGAAATGGAACCTATAGGTGGAAAAAAATTACAGACTTTAAAGGTCAACCTCCTACACCACGTGACAAGCTTTCCTGCTGGGTGTATAAGGACAGGTAGTACATCAAGAGTATTCTTAATACCTACTAATCAAGGGGAAGAAGTGTTATAGTATAGGTAGAACACAAAACTTGAAGTCCAGTTCAGACTATGACTATGTCTGACCTTGGACAAACCTCTTAACATCTTTGTCTCTCATCTGTAAAATTGGAATAACTATATTTACCAACCCTAATTTATAGAGTTATTGTGAGATTTAATTATTTTTGTCTTGGATGCAAGACACTATTCAGATGCTAAATATTACTTGATGATGTATTAAACAGGTATTAAGGTTAATTTACTGAATTTTTCATTGCTTGTGAAATAACAGAATATGCTTCAACATTTTTAGATTCAGCATAATTTCAAATTATTTTTGTTTGCAGAAATATTGAGAGCAAGAAAGGGTATTTAAATGAATAATTCTGGAAAAAAGAGCTACGTTGAGAATACAAGCTACATAATTTTATTGCAAATGCTACTTTGCATATTTAGTGATATTGCTTGTAAAAGTGCTTTAAATTATTTAAATTTAAACTAAAAACAAATGTTTAGATTTTATATTAACTATGAAAGGTAGCTAGTAGAGGTGTTAACAAACATTTATTTTTGTATACATGTAACTGCTGAATTTTTCAGGGATTACACATTTACACACAGAGTGGCAGGCAGGAACTGGTTGCAGGGAGCTGTCTTTTAACCTGGTTTCCCGCGAGCACTGGCTCCTGCCTGCCCTCTCTTCCTCTGCTGCTTCTGTGCGAGGCAGCGGTGGGTGAGGGCAGGCGGCTCCAAAGGAGCTGGCATGTGTGGGGAGCCAATTTAAAAGATGGCTCTCCATGGGTACAGGCTCCTGCACATACCCCCACCCCCATTGCCTCTGATACAGAGGCAGCAAGAGGAGGTGCATGTAACCATTAGGATTAGCTGATGAGCCCAGGCTTATCAGTTAATTGTGTAAACGGGTACACGCTAACATCCCTAGTAGCTATGGTATTAGAATTAGTCACCGAGAAATAAATCAGTTGTATATATTGATATCAACTGCATATAGATATTGTAAACAAATAAGAGTTACAAGATATATAGTGAACAAAATAAACCATTCATTTATTTTATCCCTTTATTGATTTCTGGACTCCAGGTCCTACAGCATTTGATTAAAATAGTAACAGTTTTGTATTTAGTACTGCATTTTGGCTTTGAAATTGAATTAGTTGCAAGATGTATAAACATGTATGAAGCCATCCCCCTCTTTTTAGCCATTGGTATCAGGTTGTTCAATAGCATGAATTAATCCAGTGGTTCCCAACTTTTTTTATACTGTGGTCCGGCAAACCCATTCATAAACTTTTGGTGGACTGATAACATTTTATTTGCATGTTTGCATACAGTCATTAAGATCAGAATTTGCAGGTATCTACAGCACCACGTAGCGGCTGCCAGAGCTGAAATTGGCTGCTATGTGGCAGCTCAGGGAGCCAGGGTGTACCCCAGCGCTGGTCCACAGAGCCACTGTCAAACAGTTGGCTTCAGCTGCGGCAGCTGCCTGGCACGTGCTAGAGCAGCCGGCATGGGCATGGCCTGGCAATGTGCTGCAGCCTGGCATCCAGTAGTTTGCAGCCTGACATCACTGTATCACTGGGAATCACTAAATTAATCCATTAAAAGTCAAGTTGAATTTATGTACAGAATTAAGATCCACCTATTTCAGGCTGAAATATGCAACTAACTCAATATTTTTATTAAATGCATGTATTTGGGGGAAAAGTGCACTCTATTTTTAAAATTTGCCATGAGTCCTCAGATGATGTGAATCTGAAGATGAGTGTGTCTTAGAAGCTTGCACGCTACTAAGAAATATGCAAAGAGCTGCTATACCTCTGCTTTCTTAGGGATGTCGGTCTTCCACCATCCCTTCTAACCTCCCTTTTGTTCTAAATTATTAACAAACTACAACACCAAATGTTTACAATCACTAGTGAAGAAAATATAATCTGAGAAAGGGCTCTGTGTATGCAGAAGGGAGAAAAAGGGTCAGACTTAAGCCCTTTTCTGGGGTGAGTAGTTGTTTTGGTAATGGTGAGGTGTGATAAGTTTGTGTGTGGAGTAGAACATGTAGCTTGACTTACAAACCCACAGAACCAAGGAAATTATCAGGCATATTTATGTATGTAGTAGGGATGTTAGATATAGTGTAATAAAATAGTTATGTAACTGCATGAAATCTTAGTGGTTACATGACTATTTGATAGTCCCCGAGGGCGGAGTCAGAAGCCAGTAAACTCTCGGCCTCACTCCAGGTTAGCCCCCTGCCATCCCTTCCTGCTGCCTCTGTACCAGTTTAAAAACCAGCTCCCCATGCACACCGGCTGCCTGCTGCCCCATGCTCCTGATACAGAGGCAGCAGCACGGGGTGGCAGGAGCCCCTGTCAGCAGGACTCCAAGCTCCCAGTGGACAGAGGCTGATCTGGCAGCAGCCCCTGTCCGTGGGGGGTCCAAGCTCTCTGCAGACAGAGGCTGCTGCGGGGAGGGGGAGAGAGGTCTGTCGCGAAGCAGCCTCTATGTGTAATGGCCTGAGCTTGCCACAAACAGAAGCTAACCCATGGGAGGCGGAGCAGACTCTGTCTGCAGGGAGCTTGAACCCCGCGCAGACGGGCTGCTGCCAGGCACCAGCCTCTGTCTGCAGCAGGCCCAGGCTTGCTGCAGAGAGAGGCTGCTGGGAGCTAGTCTGTGGCAAGCCCGGGCCACCATGGACAGAAGCTACTTCACGGAAGCCTCCTCTGCTTCCCCCCCTCCCTGCCCCACACACACAGGCAACAGCACTGGGAGGGGGGCAGGTGGCACTGCAGAGCTGGTGCTGGAGGGAACTGGCTTTTAAGTCAGCTCTCCCCAGCACTGGCTCCTGCCTCCGTTCTTTGCTGGCAAGGGGAAGGGGAAGGTGAGTCTGTAGAGCCAATACACTCAGGGAGCCTGCTTGAAAGCTGGATCCCCTTGCATATCAGTTCCAGTCAGCCTCCGCACTGCTGCCTCTGTATCAGATGCAGCTGTGTGGGGCACGGAGGGGGGCAGGCAGATCTAGTGCTTGTGGAGAGCCTGCTTAAAGCCAGCTCCTCACAGGCACCAGCTCCTACTCCTCCGCCCTTGCTGCCTCTGATACAGAAGCAGCAGGGGCGGGGAGTGCGTGTAGTTGATAAGATTAAACAAGATAAGGCTTATCGGTTAATCATGTCGTTGACTACACGTTGACATGCCTAGTTTTTAGCAACAGAAAGTTTGTGTAGTAACTATATACAGTGTGTAATATTCTTTGTTTATACATTTAAAGATTAACAGACTTATATTTGTTAAGCTATAATATTTAATTTTTATTTTATCAAAATATCAATGTAAACATTAATTTAAAAACAAATACAAGGTCAATTGTTTTTTTTCTTTTTCCAGATTAATATATTTTGGTGGTTATGGATGTAGGAAATACAATGAACTGAGTGAGTGTTTTGATGTTCATGATGCATTTTGGGTAAGATATTTTATTGTTTAAAAAAAATTCATTCTGATTGTTGAAAAGTATTATAAAACACAGAAAACAATTAAAGAAACCAGAGCTACTAAAACAAAGGGTCAGATTCAGTCCTGGAATAAGGACATTTAACGCTATTGAAAGAGAGCTCTTAGTAGAATATGATGTATATATTAGGTTTTACAACACCAGGAGAGGCTGAACACAGTAGAAGTTGATGTCTTTCCTCTGTGTAGCAGGTAGAGTGTTTGGGCAAGATTGCTAGGATAAATGGGCTTCTGTGAGGTCCTCTGAAGGGGAGTGATGGACAGTGGTTGAAATTAATGAAATTTCCCTTGCTTGCAGCAGGATTGGATTTAGGAACAGTCTAGGCTATACTCTATTTTAAAAAAAATCTAAAGTGTGAAATACTGGTCGTATTGAAGTGGTTGTCAAAGTTCCCATTGTCCTTGATGGGACCAGGATTTCATCCAGAGAGGCTTATTTAGAAATACCTCATAATGAAAAGTTTTGGCATATTAATGTTAACTTACTTTTGTTTGAATAATTTCTGCTCTTCAAAGAAATCTTGTAATAATAGTGGAGCAAGTCTCCAATATCTATTATTGAGTTATAATAATGACTCCATAGGTGAGCAAAATGGAGCACAAATGGAAAGTAGTCTGTAAAATGATTACCATTTTATGCTCAATTTTGTTTACTTCAAGAAACTTTCACAAAAGGTCCTTTTCACTTTATATTTTATATGCTGAATTTTCAGTCATTGGAAGTTTTTGTAAAATGTGAGGTTAAATACAAGCTGTTTTAATTTTTGGATAATTGAAAAAATATTTCACTTTTTGAAAACTATTCTAATTTTTGTTGTTTGAATTTATAAACAAACTGGATTTACCCTATTTTCACATCTGCTGATTACATTAATCTCAGAAGACATGTAAAATAATCATGTTGTACTGCACCATTTGATATTAGACTGTTTCTTCTTTAGTTTGTTGCTATTCGATTGTATTAGCAGTAGAGGCAGTCCCCGGGTTATGTACAAGATAGGGACTGTAGGTTTGTTCTTAAGTTGAATCTGTATGTAAGTTGGAACTGGCGTCCAGATTCAGCCGCTGCTGAAACTGACCGCCGGCTGACTACAGAAAGCCCAAGGCAGAGTTGCTCTGCCCCGGGCTTCCTGGAATCAGCCTCTGATCAGTTTCAACAGGCTAAATCTGGACGCCAGTTCTTACATACAGATTCAACTTAAGAACCCCAGGCGTCCCCAAGTCAGCTGCTGCTGAAACTGATCAGCG